GCCGTCCCAAATGCACATTTTGCACAGGGTCAATCCGGGACGGCCTCGTTGGGTTTGGGACGGCTCTGTTGGGTTTGGGACGGCCGTCCCAACTGTGTTTTTGGGTTTGGGACGTGCATCCCAAAGGTGAGACGTGCGTCCCACTTGCGTTTTGGCATTTGGGACGGCCGTCCCAGTTTGGGACGGCTGTCCCAACCTGTCTTGGCCTGTCTTCGCGTTTTGGGACCCCTGAGAAGCTTTCTTTTCCTTTTTCGGACGTTGTTTGATGCCGATGTGTGTCCATGGAAGCTTTATCTTCATATAGGAAGTCTTCTTGGCCTTCATTAAGATGTCGGGCGAGCTTTATCTTTGTGTAGGAAGTCTCTTTAGTCTTTATTGTGTGGATGGGTGAACTCCGTCTTGTTGCGGGAGGTCTTTTCTCGGTTTTTATTTGATATGAAGCCGGGTGAACTGTATGAAGTTTCCCTAGCTTTTATTTTGAGAGGCCGGGCAAAATTAGGGGTCTACAACGCACCTTCGACAAAAGTTTGATTTTGTCCAGCCATTTTCGAAAAGTTTGAAAGACTATCAAAGCAAGCTCTGATACCACTTTTTAGAATCGCGCAGCGGAATGTTTGCGTGGTCGGACAAAAACCAAGAGGGGGGTGAATTGGTTTCTTAACAAAAATTAGGTTTTCAAAATTTTCCCCAAATTTTACTGATTAAAAGGCTGTGTAAACGTAAATAAGATAGAGATAGAGTATTACACAGGAGATTTATACTAGTTCGGATCAAAAGACCCTACGTCCAGTTGCTAATCACTAAAACAAAGGATTAACGCTGTCACTATAATCAAAGTTGTTAGAAACAGATAACAATTGAAAATATAAAGTAAAGAAAACACCTCTCTTGAAATCCACAAGAGATGAAGAATAGTTTTTCCCAGAGACGGCACAACACACAATCCACTAAGAACTCCACTTAGTGATTCTTGTCGCTTTTAGCCCACACCAGGTTCCAAAAGCCCCTTTTTCCTCCAACAAACAGTTCTCTGGCACTCACAGCACTTAACTTTTGTTTGAAAAGGTTGTTCATTCCTTCTGAGTGCCATAGAGAAGTTTAAGTAGAGAAATTAGGGTTTGGGAATTGGGATTTTCGGAACTAGGAGTCTTGGGATTAGGGTTTTCGAAAATAGGGTTGATTTGAAGTTGAAAATCAAAATCTGACTGAAATAATCGATTAAATGAAGTGTTAATCGATTATTACAGAGCCAAAATCAACAGAACCCCAAAACTCACTGTTTTAATCGATTAAAAGCCCTGTTAATCGATTAACAGGTGTGTTAATCGATTATTACAGTGAACAGATACAGAAAATGGTTTTTCTCACTGTAATAATCGATTATTTAACCATTTAATCGATTAAAGCTGAGGCAAAAAGATAAATTTGAGTTTTTGAAGCTTCTAAAGTGTAGACTATGTACCGGCTATCTTAAAAAAAATATTACAGACTCAAACTAATCAAAACAGAGTTATTACACTATAAAACAAGTCTTCAACTCTCTAAGTCTTGTGTTCTTGAATCATCATCAAAATCAACAAGCTTCATGTCCATGTAAGTTGAACATCAAGTCCTTGAATGTTCAACAAATCAATGACAATCAAAGGAACAAGTTGATGACTGCATAATCAACCATTTCATTTCATAGCTTTTTCTTCTACTACACAATTAATGTTTCATCTATTATTTTTCTAACATTTAATGCTTTATTTACAACATAATTAGCGTTAGAATTATTGTTTTGATTATAACTTAGGTTTATTTTTTCCTTTAATTGCTTTCACGACACAAAACTCATAAAACCCCCCTCTTCTAACTCTTCACATGATAAATTAAGTATATAACAATTTGTCAATACTCCTCAAGAATACGATCTAGCTTTTATCCTAATTACTATATATTTTTCTTGTATTACATTGTTTGATCACATTTAAGCGATACAATTTTCTATGATCACCCCTCAACATACTAATCCTCGTCATGGTACAAATCACATGAAGAAAAATTTTTAACTGAGGGTGAGTCTCATAAAAAAATATCAGTTAGAGCTCGACTCGAGTGTAAGAAAGTTTGGTTCTCACAATATTTAGGGACAACCTAAGTTTAAGCTTGAAAGTTCTTTCATTTCCGGTATTTTGGGAGAATCATTACTCGTGGGGTGGAAGGATCCTACTATGAACGAGTTTGGAGAGGAATAAATTCGGATGAACATATCCAATCTTGACACAGATTAGTATATTCGCGAGAGTGATACTCTCTTATGTAAAATTTTTCCTATGGAACTAAGAGGGTTAGCACTCAAGTGGTTTTATGACCTATATAGTGGGTGGATAAAATCATTCAAGAATTTAATTGAGAAATTTTGAGCAAACTTAGCAGCCACTAGAAAACATCAGCCAACCTCACTTACCCTCTAAGGATTGAGACAAGAGAAAAATGAGCCTTTGAAAAAATTCATAGAACGGTTCACCAAATTAACTCTCACTGTACATAATATTTCTTAGATATAACCATTCAAATGATTGCAAGATTAAGACGAGGACCATTTATGGATAGTCTATACATGAATTATCTAGAAACACTAGAAGAGCTCAAAACTTGGGTCTCCAAATTAATACAACTTAGGGAAAATATTGAAATCAGAAATAAAGGATTCATCTCATAGATATGACTGAAATAAAAGATTCAAATGAGATGATAAATGTGAAGAAAAACATTCACACACTTGAATGCCAATGTTGAAACATCCTCCTAGAACGCATGCAATCTAGAGCTTATCAATTTACCAGAGCCACATCATTCATGGAATTAGAACTATGGATGTACACCTAAAAATTGTAGAAAAATCTGAGAAATTATGGAAGATCTTATTTGCACAAGGTCTTTGAACTAATTTATCTAAGGTTATAAGCAAGAGTGAGATATAAACAAGAACACTCTTGAGAAGGTTTCCGCGATTGAGGTTGTGTATGTTTCGGTGGTCAAGGATGAGGGACATGATTGTCGCTGCCGTCAAAATGAGGTGGTCGGAGCGACACGATGGTTCTGACTTTCCAATTTTTGCATTTTTATGGGTGTGGTTACAACGCCTTTAGGTTGTCTGATAACCGGGTTGAACCTAGGGGCGAGGTTTTCG